CCCCAAAACCCCAAAACCCCAAAACCCCAAAACCCCGGATTTTTTGAAAAAAATTGAAAATTTTTGAGTTTTTCAAAAAAAATTTTGTTTGGTTTGAGTTAGGGGAAATGGTAAAGGAAATTATTTTGGAAATTTGTAGTTATAGATTCTTAAACTTGAATGGTCTATTTTTTTTTACTATTTTTAATATTTAAAGTGGCTTTCTCGAACATTCTTCCACCTCAAGTCAGAATCTAGGTGTGGTAGGTTTAATAATAATGTTTCTAAAATTTTGTGATTTCCATATTTCTAACTAAACTAAAGTCTAAGCTGCCTGACTACTTGTGGTTCCTAGTACATAAATAGCTCAGATTTTGTACTGGAGTGTTCCATTTTTAGATTCCACAATCAACCAGTAATAACAAAACTATCCTCATCCTTCAGCACCAATAAAACATATAAGGAGAGATTAAGCTTAGAGGTAAGGTTGGGCCTAAGGATGCAGGAAATTAGGTAAAGTTTGTTTAGAAATGGAGATAGGAATAGGGGATGTGAAATTGGATTTTGAGTTTTTTGATATTTTTAACAATTTGATTGAAGTCTGATTTTTTATCGAAAGAAGATCAGTTTTAAAGTTTGTTATCAATTATCAGTCTAAATTATTATATCTGCCACCATTATCTCCTTACCATTCTAAATTACAATTTTCCTTCATCTTCATAACTTCAATAAACTCATAACTTCTCAAACTAGGTCCCCCTTGCTTCTCCTATAAAATACCCAAATGAATTTAACCCCAATCACCCCATTCCCCTCAATCCAGCTTCACAACTCCTCAACCCCCCCAAAATCACTCATATAAACCCTCCCACCCATCACATCTCCTCACCCCCCTTCCCCTCTCCCCTCCATCCAGCCCCATTCAAACCAACCTAAAGTCCTTCTCCCAGCACTAATTCTCCCAATCCCTCTACCCATTCCAGCTTTTCCAGCTTTAAGCCTCTGCCCGCTTACCTTCTGCTGGATTTCATTTACTCTGTCTATGTAATTTTGGGCTATTTTCCAGATGTCATAGGTAGCTTTGGGGTGAGACCAGTTGGTGCCTTTCTTGTAGAGAGGGTGATTAGTGTGGGATTTGTAGTGTTCCTATTATTGAGAGATAGGGGTTACTCTGAAACTGTCATTGTAGCTGTATGTGTTTGTACCTAGGAGTGTTAGAGGGGTGATACATTTAGGAAACGGGCAATGATACGGCTTGGTTGGATCGTTCTTGTTCCAGTGGGTTGTTACGTGTCTTAGAAGAAGCGATTTTGTGCTGAAAGTTTCCCCACAACACGGATACTATAGATAATTTGACATTAGAGAACATTGTTGATAAGAAATACAAAATTAAAGAAGGTTTTGAAAGCTTTAGTGACTCTAAATGTCCATGAAAGAAATATTTTGTAAATCCTCTAATTTTTAATAAGAGAATGAGATATTCTCAAAAATTCAGTCAGCTTTTTTAAGATAAGTCTTCAATGAAACCAAGTCCAAAGTTCCCTTACTTTTCTCAAAGAGTTTTTCAGTGCTAATCTATTTTTACCCAAAGAGCATGGGATTTGTTTCAACTTCTTCTGTTTAAATAATTTTGCTCTAGCTCTCTTTATCCTATTTTCCAGTTTAAGTCTAAATTCCTTGATAGCATTCTTCTTTATCCTTTTAGCATATTTAAAAGATTTTGCATTATTGACTGAAATCAGGGAACCATCTGAAAAGTCATTGAGCTCCACTGATTTCTGAGGCTTTGCACTATTCTGGGCCAAACATTGCGAGAGGATCGGAGTAGGTGTAGTTGCAAGATTTTTATCCCAAGAGTCTAGTATAATGAGTTGGGTTCTTGCTCATGATTTGCTTGACTTCTCTTTCACAGTTTTGGCTTCTTCTTTGTCTTTTGAAGGAATTTTAGGTCTACACATTAGGAGTTAAGTCTTACCTTTTCATTTGAGCCTGAAGATTGCTCTTCTGTTCAGATAACTTTTTACTCAAGGGGATATGAGGCCTTAATGACTTGGTTCTCTTTGATAATTTATGTCATCCTCTTTCCTTTAGTTCAGTCTTTCTTCTGTCCTGTTTGAACGAATAATCTTTGGAAGTTCTTCTCTTTTCTTTGTGAGTGGAATTTTCACATTGTCCTAGTAAATTCAGAAGGAAACTTAAAGCAAGAGCTTACTCGTAGCATCGTTCAGGTACTTATTCTTCTGGTGAAGTGTGTTATCGAACAGATCTAAAGTATGAGCCAAGGTATACCCATCAGATACTCAAACGCTGATGAATTCTTTCTCTGTGTTCCTCCTGCTTGAGATTCTCCAGTCAAATTATGGTTACTGAAAGTATCCTTGATTGCTTGAGTCCAATGGTTGGATGGTAGATCTCCTGAACAATTTATAGCAGTTATTACCAATCATACCAAATCCTTTGAGAATAATCTCAATGTTCTTGTTTGGGTCTTCTACTTTGGTCACATCATCTTCTTACCTGGAAACTGTGACATTTACTAAAATATTATTATTCAGTAGCTACATTTCAGTCATGAGCAGGTAATATGGGGTTTTGGGGTTTTGGGGTTTTGGGG